GGAGGGGTTCAAGGCCAGGCTGGATGTGGCCTTGAGCAACCTGCTCTGGTGGGAGGTGTCCCTGCCCATGGCAGGGGGGTTGGAACTCGATGATCTTTGAGGTCCCTTCCAACCCAAACCATTCTATGATTCTAAGACCATACTGGTACTATGGATTAGTTCCCCCAAGGCCCTGCCACCTTTTACTCCCCAGCAGCACAGCTGATAATTCACAGTGATTCCTTCAAGGAGGAGGACATCTCTACAATACCAAAGGCAGGGTTTGGGGCTGTGCTGCTCTTCATCCCACCCTGGAGCACCAGCACTAGCCCTTTTGGCTAAGAATCCTGCAAAACTCCTTCTCCCTGCCCACCCCCTCCCAGCTTGGCACTAAAAAGCAAACAAACAGCTCCCTGCACTGCAGAATTTGCTGAGTCTGGCTTTCAACAGGCTGGCATCTCCCAGGGGACTGACCTGGGTGCCTGCGAGGGCACAAATTCGGACTGAAGCTTTTCCCACGGTTTGGGCGTCAGTCAAACGTCCGATCCGTGTGGATTCTCTGCTGTCTAATAAGGTCTGACAGCGTGTGTTGGCCTTTCTCACAGTCGCAGCCCTGGCAGGGTCATTCTCCACCCAGCTGTTTGTAAATGCAGGAATGGAGCTCTGTACCTCTCTCACTTTGGGATAAAACTGGCCAAAGGGTTAAAAAGTTTTTTAAAGAGAAGAATTTGGAAGAATATGCACGTGCTGATGTACAATGTGATTTCCTAAGCTCCGTTACATTAGGAAATCAAAATAATCAACCCTTTTCCCTCTAAACGTGGTAGAATTTAGAGTCGTATCGCTCCTGCTGGTACAAAAGCCCCTTTTAAACTTTTCTCTTGCAGGGAGCCACACTCCAGAACTTCAAATTCTTGCTTTATCTTCAAGCTAGAGTACAGGAGAGACAATCTTTACACTTCAGGCCCCTCTGGGAGAAAAACGTGACCCCATCCAGGACGACTCTTAAGTCAGCACGTGAGCAGTCACGGGAAGCCAGGGAGATACGTGGGTTTGGGGCACCCCTAAGGTGGAGATCGGTCAGGAAATGTGGCTCTTACATCCCCTGGGCCTTAAAAGAGTCAAGAGGCTATAAAGGTGCCCAGATATTTCTCCAAAGGGAATAAATTGGCTGTGGTGGGACTGCGCAGCCCAAACCAGGTGTTCTGAGAGCTCTGCGAAATGTGGCTCTTACATCCCCTGGGCCTTAGAAGAGTCAAGAGGCTATAAAGGTGCCCGCATATTTCTCAAAAGGGAATAAATTGGCTGTAGTGGGACTGCACAGCCCAAACCAGGTATTCTGACAGTCTGAGCCCCACGGGGGTGATTTCTGCCCCACAGCAGGGGTGGTCCCCGGGGCAGCTCTGCCTCCTGCACCCACACATGCCAGCTCTTGGCTCACACTCACCTCACCATGTCCTCGGGCTGCCCTGGGCAGGCAGGAGATGTGTATTCAGGGACAGGACGAACATGACCTTTACAATCTCAGCTCTGACAAGCGCTTCCTGTGGGGTGACAGAACAGAGATGTTTCTCCTGTAACTGCAACTTGGGCCGTAGTAGCTCAAGTGCTATCACTTCCTCAGAGCTCCAGCCCCAGGTGTGTCTTTTTCAGTCGTTCCAGTCAAATCAGAGTTTAAAAGGCTCAGGTGGCTGGTGGGAGAAAGAGGTTTTTCTAATGCAAAACACCTGACCAGCCTCCATGAATCCCGTTTCATGACCTGCCAGCCTCCTGAGGAGCCCACAAACTGGAGGAGGGATCCCAAATCCTGGGAGGGATCGGCCCGCTCTGCCAAACCAGCAAGGCTGATAGTGCAGAGTGCTTTGGAGGTGGGTGTTGAGCAACCGTTGACAGGATTTCTCCATCAAATGGTGCTTTGTGGACCCACGGGGAGCCTCGCTGTATCTCAGCCCTGACACGGGCTGACTCCTCACAGATATTCATCAGAAGAGGCTGCCTGCTCCCTAGCATCCTGCCTGGAGTCAGAATCACAGAAACCTTTAGGTTGGAGAAGATCTTTAAGATGGACTCCAACCGTTAACCCAGCACTGCCAACTCCACCACTGAACCATGTTCCTCAGCATCACATCTACGTGACTTTTAAATGCTTCCAGGGATGGCATCTCAACCACTTCCCTGGGCCTGTTCCAATGCTTGACAACCATTTCAGTGAAGATTTTTTTTCCTAATATCAATCCTAAACCTTCCCTGGTGCAACTTGAGGCCGTTTCCTCTTGTTCTATTGTCTTTTACTTGGGAGAAGAGACCGACCTCCACCTCGCTACACCCTCCTTTCAGGTAGTTGTTACTAGAGTTCTCCCTGAGGAGGAAAACAAGCTTTTCAGGTGTTTGTTTTGTGTTATACTCAGTTCCCCACTGCCCGTGCTCTCCAGGCAGAGGTCACTCCTGCTCATCCAGCACCAGAACATTAGAGCCAAAGCCCATCAGCAGCCCATTGACAGGCCCTCCCTTCAGAAAGGCCTGTTGGGTACCAAAGGGAGGTGGCACCAGCACCCAACAGGATGGTTCCTTATAGCAGCCTACCAATACCTGAAGGGAGCTACAGGACAGACAGGGAGGGACTCTTTGTCAGGAAGCCAACCACATCCTGGGCTGCATCAAGTGTGGCCAGCAGGTCACGGGAGGTGATTCTACCCCTCTGCTCTGCGCTCGTGACACCCCACCTGGAGCTCTGTGTCCAGCTCTGGAGTCCTCAGCACAGGAAGGACATGGACCTGTTGGAACGGGTCCAGCGGAGGGCCACGAAGATGATCAGAGGGATGGAGCACCTCTGCTGTGAGGACAGGCTGAGAGAGCTGGGGTTGTTCAGCCTGGAGAAGAGAAGGCTCCAGGGAGACCATAGAGCCCCTTCCAGTCCCTCAAGGGGCTCCAGGAGAGCTGGGGAGGGACTCTTGATGAGGGAGGGGAGCCCTAGGATTAGGGGTAATGGTTTTAAACTGAAAGAGGGGAGATTGAGATGAGATACTGGGAAGAACTTCTTTGCCGTGAGGGTGGTGAGAGCCTGGCCCAGGTTGCCCAGAGAAGCTGTGGCTGCCCCATCCCTGGAGGGGTTCAAGGCCAGGTTGGAGGGGGCTTTGAGCAACCTGGTGTGGTGGGAGGTGTCCCTGCCCAGGGCAGGAGGCTGAAACTGGATGATCTTTAAGGTCCCTTCCAACTCCGACCATTCCATGGTTTCCTGCCCCAACGCTCCCGCGCTGGTTCCGCTGCGGGACGGGGGCCCCGGAGCCGGCCCGGCCCGTCCCTCCCCGCGGGCAGCCGGGGCCCGGGGCACCCG